GTAAGTGTATATGTGGAAAGTTTGTTCGAGATTGTTCCCAAAAATTTATAAATATATAAGTTTGGAATATAAAGCGCTTGTTTGGCATTTTTCTTGGGGGATTACCCACGTAATGCAGATTATACTCAAACCTCCCACGACTTTTTACGAAAGCTTCATTTTTTGAACTTTTTTGTTCTGCAAGTTTAGGTTCTATTGCTCCACAATAACGATTATAGAATATTTCGCAGCATTTGCTGATATTGTGCTCTATGGGCTTCAGATCATTCTTAGGACATATTAGGATATGAGATAAAAGCTTTGAAGTAAACTTTTGCGCTTTTGCAAAACTTCAGTAGATTTCGAGACATTGCTTTATTTGGGTCTTATGCAATGTTGCGATTAAAGCTTTACAATACCCCTTATACATTACAAAAAGTCAAATTTAAACGCGAGCTCAAAATTTTTAATGATTTTTTATCTCGATTAGTAATAATAACTAAAAAGCTTTGAAAAATCACATACTTGAACCCTTTGATTTTAGGCATCGTTCTCAATACTCTGCTCCTATCGTCCTTCTCGCGATTACATGTTCGTAATACGAACCTCCTCTACCTCTTTCTTCTTGCAGTTTTTGACATTTTCGTCGAACTCTCCTTTATGGTAAGTTTAGAGAACGCAGAACTGGTTTTTAGAGAGTAGTCAGAATCCAATTCAGCAACTTGTATAAAGGGTTTGCTGTAGAAGAAAGAAAAGAAATGATTAGCTGGGAACACCCTGGGGCTTAGCTGCCTCTGATGAATTCTCTACAGGGAATGCACATGTAAGAGCGATTAACTTGATGTCAACTTCAAATGAAGTTCCTTATAAAGAAAAAAAGGCATTTTTTTCTAAATCAAGCGTAAGCCCTTCATTTGAGCTCTTAAGCGTTTGAAAATTGTGAAAATTACTGCATGACTTTTTTAACAGCTTCATCATCCATTGTAATGATGTACTCTTACAATTACAAGTAAGAGCAACAGGAAATTGTAGCCTATTTATCTTTCAAAGATTGCAAGATGAGTTTCAAAGTTATTTTATCAGGTGATAGTCAGTGACTAGTCACTAATTGGAAAACGAAGAAGTGAGGGACTGTAGATTTGAACAAGATATACAAATAACTTTTCAGCTGATTTTTCCTTCCGCACTTGTCTGGGAATATTTTCGGGTCGAATTTTTGTATGTAGCATGGCATCACTACATACGATACATCTCTACTTGTGCACAGGTACTGATTTTTTTTCTGAACATGCTTTATCTCGAGATCACGCATAAAAAATCCTAATATGGAAACCGCAATGTGAAATATATGCGGTGGACAGAAATCACTAAGAACACGTGTTGCATACATGTGCAGATTCTAAGAAATTGTTATTTACCACTTACCTATTAA